TGAGGTGGTCAGTATGAAAGTTTGCCGTGTTTCAGCACACAGGCTGCACCGAAGCCTACAGAGTCTCGTCTCTTGGTGGAAATATGACCTTGCTGCCAGCATCTGCCAGCCCTGTCAAGATCAGAATATTTGTGCAGTTTGTAGCAACTTGTTGACACACTGCAAGGGCAACCATGATATTCTAAACACTTGACACCCACAGCAGCCACTCAAGGTGCTGTACCTGAAGCAACGAGTGCAAAGCCGCCGACCGAAACGGACATGTCTCAGCCGAAGAAGGATGATGCAAAGCCAACGCTTTTTGGCTTTGACATGCTGGCAAGGTTGATTTTTTTAGCAGTCAGAGATGGAGTCGGGTTGATAGTTTTCTTGATTTCTACCTTAGGGTGGTAGCAGCACAGAGTCAGAGTGCCTGACTCATTTCATTTGTTGGAGACTTCTTGTAAGGCCTTGCTCATCTGCTTTCAGCGCAACAAGCACGTCCACCGCGGCTACAACGTTGCCGCATGGAGGAGAGCTTTAAATGTGAACAACCAAACATTTAACAATCTTATTTCATGTTGCGTTTGAAATGAAAACAATGCGTCTTAAAGATCTTAAAAGATTTAAAGATCTTCAGGAGCAGCGCTGAGGTCTGCAGGTTCTGCGGCGGGTTTGGCACTGCCGTCGCGGCTTGACGGGAAGTGCATGGACGAGTTTGGGGAGTCATGGGGACAAGTCCAAGTGAAACTAGTAGCTTCTTGCTCCTAGTAGTACTGCCCTTCTTACTAGTAGCGATGCCAGGGGCTACCAATAGCTTCTTGCGACTAAGTAAGGCCAGGAGCGCCCGGTTCGTAGCGTCCGAAACCGCTCCGTTCGAGTCGCGCCCGATCGGAGACGAGAGCTGTGCTGAGGGCGTCGAGGCCCACGCCGCAGGGGGTACCACGATCCTTCAAGCCAGCTGACACTGGGTGGCATGGGCTGTTGGGGCTGTTGGGGCCGTTGGCCACTGAATTTGGGTGACGTGGACCATTTCTTCATGACTTATCATTACATATCCGCCTATTATATAATAGGAGTTTTGGTGTTCTTTCAATGCTAATAGGGGAGTTGACTGGGCCTTGAAACATTTTCCGAAAAGCCAGCCCAGCCGAGAAGTTTTGTCTAGGTGCCGAAGGAAGTGGAGGAGCCTCAGGCTGTTCGGATGCCTTTGAGAGAATTCGTTCTGGGATGTCGAATTCATTGTGCCATCCATGTGGGGGAAAATTGGGGAAGATGCTGCGGAAATGGTTTACATGAGAGGAGCAGAGAAGCGCAATGAGATCTGGCTCATGAGATTTGATGCTGATGAGGTGTTGTCAGATGTTTTTCGTACAGCTTAAACCTCCTGTGTCAGGCAAGGTGTTTTCCCACCTGATTCGAGGCCTTCGTCCAACATCCTATGTTCGTCCCACAGGAGATGCCCAGCTGGTGGCCCCAAACGAGGAGGAGCGCATGAAGGTGTGCGTCGCAGGGCCCCGGGGTTGGGGTCCGATGTGTCGAGGTGAACCCGGCGTGGCGTAAGCCTTCCTTCTTTTAGGATGATGTCCTTTTAGAATAATTAGGAACAAATGAATGTTTTGAAAGGATATGAAGCTGGTCTCAAGGATTCAAAGATCTCGATTTCGACAGCATAGTGTTTGATGGGCCTGGATTTGTACACGTCCGCACCAGGCAGGCCTAAACACCCACAAGCCTGAAGATGCGGCTCGTAGTACCAGTAGCATCCGGAAATGTCAGGCAACGCCGCTTTGCCTTTGCCGGCTTTTAGATGTACAGATCGTGTATAGAGGCAAATCTTGTTTAAACGTAGCAAAGTTGCTGCGTACGATGCTGCAAGTTGCAGAATTGGCTCTGTGTTCCAAGACTCAGTGGCCAAGACTCAACACTTTTTGTGTTTTCCGACCTTGGACGAAGAAGATCCACTCAATTCTTGGGACGCACAGCCGTTTGTTGCCGGATCACCCCACACCCGACGTCTCCGTTCAACTGCGGGGCCGCCAGGGACCAGGGTGGAGGCCTGAGGAGTCCCAGCTGTTGCAGTGCTGGGAGAGTGCGCTGGAAGACAGAAGCAAAAGAATCCGAAAAGAGAGGACGTGATGTTGCAGGTTCTCACACCACCCACAAGGTGTGAAGAAGGGCTGCTTGATGTGGACAGCTGCTTTGAAAGAGTGGACATTGAAATGAAGGACAGGTCTAAAAAGATTTGGAGAAAGGAAACAAACACAGGACAGCCGAATACAGAAAAAGGATAAAAAAGGATAAGAACATGCAAGAACCAAAAGAAATACAGCCTAATGCTTTGGATGCCTTTCAACAGGTCTTCAGCGCACGTTCAGGCGGTTGCAGGAGCCTTCAAACAACCTGTTGTTCCCATGTTTCTCCGGTTTGTTCTAGCCTGGTACATGTGGAAGCATCTGGAACAAAGGGAAAGAAGCCATTGGCTAGGCAAGATCCACGAGCCGAATGGTGAAGAATATGCAGGGCGAGCATGTTAGAGTGCCATGATGTGGGGGCGGTTTATATACGGTAGCTCGTCCTCAGTCCTGGCACATCCAAGTATGTCTGAGTTTCACGAGCTCATTTTGGTGCCCTACAGCCAGAGTCACAGACCGTGTCCTCCAGGCCTCCAACGGAGCGAGGACTCAACGTCGTCCCGGAAAAAGGACGTCGCACCGCGCCAGCGGATCTCGGATCGAGTCGAGTTGCGGTGGTGTCCTTTTCGACGGCGGGAAGAAGGGGACAAGAAGAGATCCACATGTTGGACAGGCACCCTCAGGCAGCACAGTGGGAAGGAAGCAGGTGAGAGGGGTCAAGTCATCTCCAAAGGAAAGCCCTGGGCTTGTATGGCCCGGTAGCAGTCAAAGTGAACCTTTGATGGGAATACGGAGTTTCCATGAGTTTCCTATCATGCATGGTGAGAAACATGACAATGAATTGGGGAACTCGTGACTGCACATAGGCCCCCCTTGAGGACTCAGCTGTCTGGAATGACAAACACGATCGACAAGATGCTCACATGCTCAGAACCAGTTGTAGAGGTGTCTTATTTCCTTACTCCAGCCATTCAGAAGTCAATTTGCACGATGATTCCGTGAGACTTTGCTCAACAAGGAGGCGGCAGACAAGCAAAGCACACATGTTTGGGTTCTTCAAGGACCTCAGACAGGCTCTTACCCTGATGCAATGAGCAGGGTCTTGGTACAGAGTGAGACCGATACAGCAAAAAAGTGATATGTCCTGAAAGTAGAGCCAATGTCAACATGAGACCCATATCAGAGGAAGGGATTTCACATTTCCCCGGTTTTCCCCACAATCCCAAGACCCAACATTGATCGGATTGTCGATTTCTTCGGCCCTCCGCTGTTGTGCAAGATGGCCTACGGCACCTTGATAGAAGAAAATGATCAGAGAGGTAGCTTCTTGCTCCGTTCGTAGCGATGCCCACTACTAACGTTCGTAGCTTCTTGATACGGTCGTAGCGATGGCCTCCACCTATAGAGTCCAGAAAAATAGTTCTTGGGAGTCACTTCAGAACTATCCTTGGGAGTCACTCGCACTTTCTGTGTTCGTTTGAACATCCTTCGGTCCCTTGAACCTGTGATTCGCACCATGCGGGTGAGCTGTGAAGCCCCGTTCATCCAAACCTCGCAAGCCTTTGATGTTCAGAAACGATGGCTACTACATGTCTTCCAATCTGTTCAGACTTTTCAGCTAAGGCTTGAGGCTCATCAACAACAATGCCACCTCCGGAGGGTCCGAAAGCCCCAGGGGCCGGGGAATGGGCGAGGAATGCCGCATGCAGAAGTGTAAGATGATAGCAAAAGGCTGGATGGTAGAAGATGATACATTTTTTAATGTATTTATCTATGTCCGGAACCTTCAAAGTCAGGGTCGACACTGTTTGCGTGTTCCCAGATGACCGGTCTACCGAAAGTCAGTGAGTGCCAGGCAAGGTCTCTTGCTTCTTTAAGCCATTTAAGCCACTTCAACGTGATGTGGCCACTCGTAGCCACCTCCACTGCCCACATCCATTGTGCACGTCACGCCGACATGCGACTTGGGGTCAAGACAAAGACTTTTGGAGGTGCGGCTTAGCATCACTTAAGCAGCTTAGCAGCTAGCATCGCAGCTAGCAGCTGCCAGCATCAGCATTCTCTTCCATCGTTAGGGCGGTGAGCTGGACTCAACGGAGACGGAGAAGGACCGAAGCACCGAAGCCGATTTTCTCCGAGGAACGGCCGTGACTGGATCTGCTTCGGCGACGAAGCCTTCCGCCGCGGTAGAGCTCGGCAGCTCAGGGCGGATCTGGGACTTGGACTCACCACTCAGGGTGAAGACGGTGCAGGTCAGGTCAGGTCATTGGTTTTAAATGGAACACTCGGAATGAGGACCAGCGATTCCGGTCAACTGGAGCTTATACGTGCTATGTTTTCAGGTTGGTTTGGGCCAACGGTTTTGGGGTGCCGATGTTGGGCCATAGCGCCGATTCCGCAACGGTTGAGAGCTCCGATTCCGAAAATCGATGTGAATCAGACCCTGCCAGCAGGTGGACGTCGGGTCGTTCGTACCGAACGGGTCATTGGGACATGACCCGAACAGGTCAAACAGGTACGACTGCTCTGAGGTTTCGAAGGGGTCGACCTGAGTCGAATCGAAGAGATCGTCTGCTTTCCCTAAGAGATGCCACTTAGCGGTAAGCATGGTAACAACGAGCGGTGAGCGAGCGAATCCATCACAGCTGCTGTCCCCTTTTGCTATAGGGGCTTCAGCTGCACTCTGCACTGCCATCTTCCATCCTGGAAAGGATCTGAAAGGTTCCAATGTTTCAATTAACTCCCTTTTTGGCCAACCAGGTTCGATGAAACCAACGGCCTCCAACGGCAGTAGCCCATGTCGCTGTCGCTGCTAAGGCTGAATTGCCGCTGTCGCCCAAAGGAAGTGCAGCCATGGAGGTGCGGCTGAGCTAGCCGTGACACATCGTGACACCGCGACTGCAAGTGGCTTCTGAGTGTAAGGAGATCTCCGGCATATAGCGCATTGGTAGGTTCTTCCCGTGGGTGGTGGGGAATGCAAGGAACCCACCAAACCCGTTAGTTGTCCTCATGCGAATGTCAGCATGACGCTGCATCATAGATCCCAAGGTTGGCGGTGTTTTGTGGTACTGTCCCTTGTTTGTCGAGTTGGTGGTAGTGATAGCTATGCTATGGTCCAAACACATCATACACATCCACAAGAATGCACAAGAACCCATCATGAGCTCCTGAGAGAACCCATCGTGTTTTGAGATGTTTCCCGTTGCCAGGTCCGCCGCTCCTGGCAACGGGACCGGGCTTTGAAGCGTGCAGAGCGTGCGCAGATGACCATGCAGGCAGGGGACGTTTATTTTCAACTAACGAATGATTCACTGCCTTGTTGCGTGTCCAATTTAGCCCTTGTCGCTTTACTTGTTGCTTTCTGACTTTGCCGTTCTTTCCTGCGCTTTCGCCATTTTTCAGACATTGCATTTTTCAACCTTCCTTTGATTTGTGCTTCGCCCCTTTATTCGGGCTTTATTACTGTTCATGCGTTCCCCTCCAGCTTTACCGGGCAACGTGCAAAGGCTCAGTCTCCCGATGGCATGATGAAGGCCGCGCACGGAGCTGCATGGCTGGAGGATGTGAGTGATTCTGAGACGATTCCTTCTAGTAGCGTCCTTGCTCCTAGCAGCGATGCCCTTTGTTCCGTTCGTAGCATCCTTGTTACTAGTAGTAAGGCCAGGAGCTACTAGTATAGCCTCCCTTTGAATGATAATTTAAATGCACAGTCAGCTACGTTATCTCGGCACTTTCTACCCATACCGTGCAGATGGTGGATCAACCACCGGACTAGGTCCCGCAAAAGGTTTGTCCTCACTATGATCGTGGTCACAACGTTTTCTTCGATCAGTCGAAGCAGAGGTCGTTGGGTCCGTCCGGGTCGACGGACGGGACCGTGTCGCGTGGTGACCGCCAGGCTCCACGTGGCTTGCCAGGTGCGACGCCCGCTCGCTGCGACCGATCGGTGATCGGTGATGACGGGTTTGGATGGTGATCACTCGGATGCGAGTCGATGGGATGTGATCACCGTCTTGGTGGTTCTGGTGATATACGCATGTGCTGGGAGGGTTCCTGAATAACGAACAATTGGTGGCTAATAAATGGGGCTATAGTTTTTCCGAAGAGGCCACTCCGCACAACTTCTCCTCAACTGTGCACGTTGACCGCGAACAAGCCCCACGGTCTCTCACTTTCTGGCAACTGACCGGTGAGACCTTTGAAATCCTTTGGACGTGTCCAAGAATGAAACCATCCACGACATAGAGTATGTACAAACTCAAACTAATTCCATTACATTTGTTGCTTTCGTTGGAATCATGTGTGAAAGGTGCCCACCTGCGTTTTGAAAGCAGTATAGTTTCCTTGGCCACCCAAGTTGTGTGCAAGCTACACCGTCCCGAAACGCACCTTCGCAGTTTTTCACATCTCCATTGCAGCGGTGCCACATGGGAGAGTCTAGCAGGATGCTTTCGTGGGGATGGAGGTCTTGATCAGTTGAGTTTAGTGCTCGTGGGCTGCTCGATTGAACACTAAGATGGGTTGGCTGCTTCATTGTCCGATATTTTGAAGAAGGCCTTTACTAACCATCATCCCCTGGTCCCCTGGTACTGGTAATAGGATACACCCAAAAGATGAGGTTTCCTTCCGAAGCCTGCTTGCCATGCGAACCCTCAGGCTTGGCCGTGCTGCAGAAGTGGCACCGCCAATGGCTCAGGGCTTCAATGCGGCGAGCGCATCGTGCAGCGAACCCTGTGACGTGGTGGATGTCACCGGCCGACATCGGGAAACTCTGAAACCGCAATGCTAACTCAGAATAGCATAGAATATAGGAACCCTTTGCAAGCCATACATCATACATCTGTACATCCGTACTACCCTACCCTACTACTGTATAAGGAAGTGAAGACGACCCTTGGTCTTCCTTTTTTGTGACTCGCTGTGACTCTCAAGGAGTTCACAATGCGCCTGTGGTGAACGACCGAGAAGGTCGGATCAGCCCAGTGGCCACGGTGAAACGTGGCGAAACGGCAGGAGACGGGTGACATATGCAGCGGGCAGTGGCAGGGGCGTCGATTTTCGTTGGTTTGCTGAGTGTTCACCGGGGCTATGAGGCGTTGACATCAGAGTGCAAGTTCGAGGTGTAGTGTATATCCATTGATATATGTATTTTTGCGGCCTCGAATTTTGGTCGCTGAACGCTGCGTTGCAACTCGCTTCGCTAAACAAGCTGCCCGGGTTTGTTTTGTGGATTCTCCGCGAAAAGGGCTGCAAACAACCAGTGCGCATGGGGTCTGTCTTGATGCGATCGCCATCAGCAATGAACATCAATGAAGATGCAAAGTCCTAAGGTTCCACAGCTGTTTTGAAGGGTGGCTGATCTTGTAGAGATGTCCCAGGCTCCATCAACCTCCCCAGCTCCATTCTTGCCACGTGTTTCTCCCAAGATGTACGGATCTTCTCCGGGAACTGAAGCACTTTCGGGACTCGTAGCTAAGTAGCGAAGCACTTGTTACTAGTAGCAATGCCCCTGCTACTATAGTAGCTTCTAGCTGCCAGTAGCGATGCCCTTGATTTGATTGGAAGCGAATTCATGGTGAGCGTGGCAGCAACAACTGACGACACACGATGGGCGGTACCTGGATGATCTCACTGAGGCTTGATTGATGCCAGGCGACAGGGGTCCGGTTCGGTGGTGGCCTTGTTCAGAGGACTCCCGGTTCGGGCAGGCAGGGTATTTACCTTCAATGTTTCATTTATGTTGACCTGGGGTGCCCAGGTCTGTGACTCCTTCCGACCCCAACTGCGACCCAGATCTTGGAATGCAGATCCATGGAAATCCTGATTAACAATGACCGACGGCAAGTTTGGGTTTCGCCCAAATCAGATCAAACTCAGGTGTTTTTTTTTTGACAAACATTGTTGTCCGGTACTTTTTGGGAGTCTTCAACCATTCCTCTCTATGCTCCTCGGTACTTTTGGGGAGTCTTCAGAAGCATCTCTCTGCCCATTGGACCGGTTCCTTGCCGCCTCCGGAGACTCTTGGTCTCGTCCGCAGGCCGCCCCCTTCTGGGCCACAGGCCGGCGGGTGGTTTAAACTGTCACGTGAAATGGTGAAGACGACATGCCCAAGACCACACGACATACCTGGTATTTGCCTGAAAAGCTTCCCCTTCTGGAGATCAGATGATGAGAGGGCTGTATCTATAGGTCATTTAGATTCACTTAGCACTTTCGACTTGGAATTGTGAGTTCTGATTCCGATTTTCACGTGTGGCCATTCTGCTCTGACCAACTCATTTCAGATCGGGGACTCCCCCATCCATACCCACCCGTTTTGCATATTTAGCTAGGGAATCCTGAATCCGGACACGTCTGCTTTTTGAGCACAGACTGTATTCTCAGCATTGATGCTGGTTCAGACATGGAAAGCCTCCGCGAATCCATGCAGCAATACCATTAATTGGAAAGCTTCGTCCAGTTAGGTATTCGGTGTGCTTCCAGAGGGCATTGGTCCGTCATACCAGTATGACATAGGAGATAAGGAGCATATTGAATCGATGTTCTGTTAGAAGTCAGACAATGCATGACAATGCATTTGTTTACATGTAAAACATGCATTCTTTTTATCTCCAAAGATCCCAATTTCGCGCGACACCGCGGTCCGACGCAGTGAATCCGAAGTGAAACCGTGCCCACGGCGCGTGCGGCCCATCGCGGCGCGGCCCATCGCTTCGGCCCCGTTGCGAAGGCCACCAACGAACAGCTCGTGCACAGCCGCTCCACTGGCGCCTTGACGGAGGATCCCATGATGTCCTGGCGAGCAGTGAGCTTAGGGGATGCTCCAGAGATGCTCCAGAGGTTTTCTCTTCCTGAGTCATGGGTGAATGAGAAGTTTGGAAAGTTGAGGAGAAGCTTCTTGTTACTAGTAGCAATGGCCTGCAATTTACTAGCGATGGCCTCCAACCTACTAGCTTCTTGCTGAAAATGGGCCAGAGAAGATTTGAGAGGGCCCTTTTGGGGATAATGTTTTTGATGATGCTTTGGCAATCTTTGGCATCTTTTTTTGGCAAAGGCTGACTGTTTTTGAAGGACCAAGTTGAGAGATGGTTCAAGAGGGTCATTGACTTGGCAGCCTAGATCGATGGTAGGCTCTCAAGATCGATGGCATGTCGATGGTAGGCACCCCTAACGCAGCCTCGAAAGGAGCACAGCTTTATCTCATGATCAAAGGCTTCTTGTTGGAAGACTTCGTGAGTTTCGCGTTCAAAGAAATCGACCAACAAGAAGCCTTCCTGACCACCTTCCGTTCTTTCGACATGACACCGCATCGCTCGCGGATTCGGGTGTTGCTGGTTTGATCGGAGGCTGAGACCTTTCAGAAGCCGACGTTTCCGGTGTCCCAGTACCACTACTTCTCGGTGCCACACGTGGGGGCGACTTAGTCGGGTAGGGTGGCAAGGTCTTGGACGAGCGGAGGTTCCGCGGCGTCGTTTTTCGGGGGGTTCTTCGGAGCTTCTCTTAGCATGAATTGAGAGTCAGAAAAGATGCTTGCTGGACTTGACTAGTCTGGTGGTTGAATCGTAGGAGAGAGCCACCCACCACCTCTTCGCCATGAAGAGAACACACACACACTGTGGGGGAAGGAGAACCAAGTAAGTGCCCAGAAACTGAGCTGCTTCAACACCCACGGGAACTTGGCAGTGGGTCTCTACCCTTTTAGTTATGACTCCTTTCACGGTTACTCCCTGATTGAAGCTCTGCGGTAGAAGTGTCGACATGTACCGAAAACATGCATGGCGCCTGGCCACTATGACACCCAAACAAAAAAACCGTCATGGTTCAGGAAGGCGACCTATAGGTTGCAAACGAGGTGACCCGGAAGTGCACAATCACAGCAGTTAATTCTCAACCACCACAGTTGGTTGGTTGGACTGCCACCACCACCCGATGCAGTGCGTCCCTCGTGGCGTGGTGCGTCCCTACGCTGCCCCAAAAAGAGTGGCGGCAGCCGGGAGAAGAGAGCTTGAATCAGGTGGATCCTGCAAGCTAGTGCACTGACGCGCCCCTTCCAGTAGATCACTGTCACTAGTCTTCCGGAGAACTTCCACTTCCATGGAGCAAGGTTGCTCAAACCTTGAGCCAGCCCACCGCTTGGATGCGGCTTGTCCCATTTTTGCAACTTTTCGCTGGGGTTGCTCTTGCTTGATCAATCAACCAAGGGATATCCACGTCACTTCTCACCTTGCTTGTCATTTTGAAGGAAATTGTGGGCGTGGCCAAACGCATTTCTGCCCAAGGTCGCCTTTGCCAAGATCCCCGCCCCAGCGCCGGGCGACTCTCGCGTCGAGGCGGACGGGGGCCATGACAGAGTGGTTGGTCACAAAATGGTCTCCAACTGAATCTTTTCAACTCGCCCTTTCTTTTCCCATGGTTCAATGAACCGTCCGGATCGCTAGTGTGGTGTGGGCTGTTTGGATTGTTTGGTTGGTCGGTGTGATTCGAGGTGCTACTTTTGACAGCCAAACTGACCAGCATGCACACGCTGGAACAGAAGCTGCTTAAAGTATTGGAGAAGACGAAAAAGAGAAGGCTTGTTGTGGTTCCAACACAAGGATGAAAGACATTGCATTTCTCGGTCGATCTTGGCATTTCACGATTCCTCAGCACCTGAGAGGCGGCTGAAAAGGCGGCCGATCAGGCTGGATGGTGCTGGGCACTTTTGGGCAAACCACTAGACTAGACGGGTAAATCGTCAAAATGCTGGGTTGTTCATGTGGAGCATGAAACATGTTGGTTAACTGAGATTAAACATAATGTCCAAAGTCTCCTTGGACTTGGAGAAGTGAATTCATGGACATGGCGCATTATGCTTGGTTTGGACGGTTTGGACTCAGACAGACCAGAGCATAGCACGACACCCACCCCGCCCACATACCTCTTCCTTTGGGGAATGGGGAACGAAGACATTTTCTTTGAAGTGCGACGCCGATGATTCTCACTTGTCCCTGAGACGGAGAAGTACTTCTACTTCAGCGACCCGTTGGGGGCTCTCAGAAAGTATTGGTGTTTCTGGTTCTGGTCTGGTTGTGTGATGTGGTTCGGGAGTTCTTGCTTGTGATTGGTTGATGGATTGGCGGATTCAGAGTGAGAGTTCTCCTTTGAGTTCCAAGGATGATCACCCGCTCCCAGAGTTTCGTCGTGGAGCATCCGCAGCATGGCCTGGCGAGGCGTGACAAAAAGGGCTCTAGATTCTAGATTATATAAACGTAGCTGCGAGCCTTTTCGTTCTCAAGCACATGTATACTTAGGCTCTTGTTAAGAACTGAACATCGTGTGGTCACATGTAGGTCATTTGCTTCTTGAGCCTTGTGTGTGACTTGTGTGACACTATGTGACACCCCATCTTCGCCGGAAAGGGAGCCGTGGAGCCCATATAATTGTCCATGTCTGTATTTTTTTGTGGTAACATAGTGTAAGTGAGTTGATGTGGAACCCTAGCCCTAGGCTTAGGCCTGGCGCAGCATGGCCTCCAGGTCGAAACAGGCCTCCGCTGTGGGCCTTCGGAACCTGAAGTGAGATGGTGAGATGATTGAGGCCACCGCTAGCGGTGGTTCATTCCTGGTGGGTTCGTTCTGGCACGGGAAGTTCTGGCTGCGTTTTTCTTCTCAACAGGAAGAAGGTAATGACCGAACTGTGCCCCATGTGCGAACGCCTGTCCCTACACGCGGATACGTGCTTGCAACGCTCCAAAGGAGCCACGTTGACCCAAAAGTGAGAGCGGAGCTTCACCTTATAAGCCCCTAGTAGCGTCCTTGCTCCTTATGGCCAGTTAGGTATATAAACACTATAAACTGACTGACTCACTTGATCACCCAGACTGCCCAAGATTGCAAGTGACCAGGCGGCTTTTGATTTGGGACTGTTCCAAGGATTCCTTTCATTGGGGGAGACTCGCCAACCTGTGAATTGGCGGCCGAAGCCAGGAGATGATGTGCCGGAGTTTCTGTAAACTAAGCCCAAGAATTGGTCGTTTTGCAAGTGGTGGTGTGACTGACTGCCATCTCGCCATCTGATCTCAAGCTCTTGAAGCTTTGCAGCCTTGCCAAATTGATGAAATGACCACAAGTTGGGCCTGAGTCCAATGAATTCACCGGATGTTCGGGGTGAGACGGGGATTCTACACTCCAAATCCATCCAGCGAGTGGATATGCAGAAGGTTTTTGCCCTTTTGCTTGTTTCGAGGCCAGAGAACGGCTCCCTGGGCCTCTGACAGAATTCTTCACGTTGGTCTCCCATTCTGCGGGACATTTTAGGAAGTTGACAATTCTTTGTTTCATCCAGAGTTTGTCGACCTTCCAACCTCTGCATGTAGACTCTGAAATATCAGTGGTGTTTACATGAAGTTTCTTTTGCGCTATCCCCTTGCCGTAACCCGCTTGCTTCATGCTTCCAAACGTTTGACCTTTCTGGACATTTCATGTTCAACCTGCTCGGCGAACCACAAAATATTGGTCCACCACGGAAGCTTCCAGCATTCGCGTGGCACGCGTGGCCTATGCATGGCTTGGTCCTCTTCCTCCTCGGTGAGGTGTGGATGGAGTGAGGAATTGCAGCCAATGTGCTTGGTGAAGTTTCTTTTTTGTCACATCACATCGCCCATGCATTGACGGCTATTGCAAGGTTATTGTCACCCTTGGTCATTCTCACCCATGCATTGAACCTTCTCACCCTTGAATTGGTCTTGTACGGAGGCCAAGGTTCCAGTGTTTGGGGTGACAGAGATAGACCAGTTGTGGACGCTCACACATGGTACTTCAAGCGCAGTTGAATCCATGGTCACCGCATCGGTGTGGCTTTCACGGCCAGGTTGGGGGCTTCTTCCAGGGTTGCGCGGCGGTGCCCTACCATGTGCGATGGGAGGATGGAGGCGCATGCTGAAGCCGCATTCGGATTGGAACGGGGCGGAGGCAAATAGAGGGATTGGTCAAATTACCTTGAGTTATTTCAGATGGAATTGCTGAGCGTTGGTGTGTCGGGAGTTCTCAAAGTAGAGCGTACGTCGTTTGCAACATGAACCGATGAGAAGACACTCGGTGAGATGGTGTGTTTGTCACAGCTAGGAGTGGTGGAGGAACTTCAGGGACAAAGGAAATCAAGGCTTTCCTATGTCTTACTTGGCATGAAGAAGCTTTAGAGACTTCTGGACAAGTGGTGCTCACAGTTGCTCATTCCTGACTCACCTTCCTTTTTGCCATCAACCTTTCGGGTGAGAGGTTGCTTTCTCCTTTTCAATCTGATCAAATCGGACACTGGACACTGAAGGAGCATTTTGCAGGAAAAATGCTGAAGTGCTCGGAACAGCACAGGCCCAGATGAAGAGCACCCTCCAAAACCACTCTTCGGCGGCTGCGTCTCCGCGTGCTCTCAGGCCGTCTCCGCGTTCGGGGACTTTTTGGACTCCACTTGGCCCAAGCAGTGCTCGAGCAGCTGCCAGAGAGGCCGAGAGTGATTGGTATGAGGTCCGGTGTGATAGTGATAGACATACTATTGGAGATTTTGCTGAGGGCTTTGGTCAACAAATCTTTCAATTGAAGACTTGGAACACCTGTGGGTTGACCTCTGAGTAGCCTTCAGGCCAACTCAGCTTCTTTGCCCACCCTTAGCCCTTGTCTTTCTGCACGCCTACGGATTTCACACCATTCCATTGTGCCAGCACTTTCCCTTAGAACCTAGGTCTATATGAGTCTATATATACTCCAAAACGTCTATATGCGCCATGATCTCTGTCCAACGCACGCTAGAAAGCGCCACGCGAGCTACGTCGTCTACGCACAGGTCGGGGCTTCCTCCAGCGGTGGGGTCGACCTGTTTTGAGTCCTTGGACTCCGACCTGGTGCAAGCGAGCCTGGAGCACCTGGAGGGTCGCGCACCGCGCACCGCGCGCAACGGACCGCGGCATGGGCTCACAACTTACAACGGTTTTCTTCCATGGCGTTTTTCTTTTCTTTCTGACATATTTTTTGGGGGTCTTCCGTTTTTCTGGGAGGGGCTCACTCTTTGGATCGCGCGTCACAAGGCCTTCGGGTACACAGCTTCGGAACGCCCATCTTCGAGACGCAGAATGAGTTGCTTGGAGTGACGTCCACGAACGAGACGTCCATCCGGATGGGACCGGATGGATGGATTTGGGTGCACCATCTTCGTGCACCGGATGGATACACAGGGCGGACAGAGGTGGGCAGTTACGGTTTGTTTTTGGAACCGAATTTAAACAAATACCACCCAAAATCGACCATGTTGGTAGTTTAGTAGCGGTTTGAAAGGGCGGTAATTAAGAAACACGTATAAACCGTATTTAGGGTTTCGGACATGGTGTTTTTTTCATTGGGGAGGCTTTTTAAATAGGTACTCGGGATTAGGTTGGTCTTCTTTCGGGCTTTTTTTCCTTGAGACTGGCCTGAGCTCTTTCTTGGACATCAGTATGGTCCTAATGTTTGTTCTGCTTGGTTCATATTGATTGGTTGGAACTATTCCTTCGGCTCTCTTTTGCCTTGATGGGGGAATCAGGGGAATTCTTTGTTTGGGGTCTGGAAAGCCCAAGGCTGCAGGCCAACGCGGACTCCAGGCACTGTGGGAGGGAGCACAGATCGGCCGCATTTTGATGCTTAACTGGGCAACCGGTGAAGTGTCGGCAACTTCTTAAACTCTTGCATGGTCAATATAGTCTACTGCTGGTGAACCAAGATGTTTGCATCAAGCAATCCACCTGGTAACACTCTGCTGCAAATCCTGAGGCAGATAGATACAGATACTATTTAAAAAGCATATGAATCCAAATATGGTCATAATAATCATATATATCTAGTAGTATAGGATGTATAGGTATATAGGTATAAATTGTGCTGTGTCGCTTCATCCCACCAGTGGTCCTTCTTTTGCCCATCCGTGACATCAGACTCCGCCTGTGCTGGCGAAATCCGTCCCATTGCTGGGCGGCAGTGGTCGGGGGCCCCGGAACTGGTTGTGCTGTGATGTCTCTGACGACCTGAGTCTCAAGCCTCCATCTGAAGCGATCAGACTGGGGAGACTGTGAACCATCCTTTTTTCCCCTGCACATAACTGTGAGACTGTGAGTAGAACATGCCATTTGGCTCTACAAAAACAATATGAACAACAAGGGGCAAGAGGTGTTGTCATCGTTGGCTTGGCTCGTGCATCGAAGCTCAACGTTTTGAAGGCCAAGATGGAGTACATCGACGTGGCGGCGGCGCTGGCTTCGGAGGAAGACGATCTTTCCGGGTGCCTTCGGCCGGAAGGACATGTCGGACGCGAGTGTGGCTCCATGTCTATCAGTGTGGGACCAAACTAATTCGTTTGGTCCTTAAGGTTTTGAAGACTAGGGGAGGTGATCCTTGGCTGGCTATAGCATGGCTGTTAGGGACTTTAACTTTTTGCCGCATAGTGCCACAGGTTATTTGTAAATAGTTTGGCGTACTGTACCCTAATGTATGAACCACAGATGTGTTCGAAGAAAAATAACGGCAGATGTTCGAGGTAGTTTGAGCCGGCCAGTGCCACACGCTTTGAAAGCGCTAAGATGCTATGCACGTAAACCACTACTTTGCAGAATGGCTTCGCGGTTTGGGCAACCTCAGCTCGGCTGAAGCATAGGAGGGTTCGGACGGATACCAAAGCGTGTAAATCATTGACTGCGTATACGGGTGCAGGGGGCTTCGTGTATATACACGCCTGGCATACGCCCACAGGTGATGGAGTTAGTAGCGGAAGACGTGTGAACAGCACGTTCAGCAACCTCCAAACACCTGAAACGAACCTCAAGCGCACCGAATCTCCACCTATCAAGCACCTCAAACGCACCTCCAAGCCAATTTGGCTTTTGTAAGCTGAACGGTGCTCCAGAATTCTGCAGCGCTCCAGTTTCTAACTTTGACAGTCACCGGTCAGCCACGCTTGCCAAGTGCTCAAGACGACAACGACAGATGAACGCTACAGAGATCTACAGAGTAGAGAACATCACCTCCAACCAAAAGCGCGGAGAGACATGTAGATTACTCATGCCATATGTCTCCCACCATGCAGCAGTTGACAGTAGCCACATGTGCGATGAATTTACTGCTTCCGGATGAGTTGACGTGCGCCCCAAGATCCCTCGAGTGCTCCCTCCCATCCGAGTTGCCACACTTCTCACACCCACTCGCTTCCAACTGAGCTGCCTTGTATCTTAGCGTCAGAGCCTCTTCCGGACGTGTGTCTCAGAGCCCTTGGCCAATGCTACCACATTGGTCAAGCGCCATAAAGTCATGACTGTGGCCTTGGTTCTTTGGATTCTTGAGGCAGTGGTCGCGTTGAGAAGCTGCCGCAAAGATGTTGAGTTGTATGGAAGCATTCTTTGGACCACGCGAAACCATGACATGAGCTTCGTTCGCTACCTGACTTTGCGCCGACTGCGATGTACTCCGCGGTTTGCCCAGATGCAGCCTATGTATTACATTGGCTGGGTGGATCAAGGTGATTCGTCCTCAGAAGTGCGTGAATCTTGGCTCACTTAATGACCTCTGAGGGGTATTTGCAAGACCTAGGCCACAAGCCTTTGAATAAAAGAACCATAGAAAAAGAGCCTAGCTGAGCCGAGCCCTTCGCAACCTTCCACAAGTTCTATCCCATTAGACCAGTTAAGTAAAATGCCACGACGCCTATGTCACTTCAGGTGCTAAAGCCATCAAAGCCTAGGTCACCCGCGCCCAGTATTTAAAATTGCCTGGCGCGCAAGCATCGTTGCCGTCCAAAGCGCAAAGTTCAAGCAGCTGTTGGGTCCTTGCCAGAGCGTGTGGTGGAAGCCTGGCAGAAAAGAGAGAAGATGAAAAGGGGGAGGACGGAGGAGCAGCGCAAAATGGACAACCAAGTGCTTGACCGGTTAGGTGGTGGGAAGCTTGTGGCCAAGCTAGACAAACAAACCACTCTTCCACCAGATGCGCCAGCAGTACAGCAAGTCAGAGGCCAGCGCCAAGGACAAGTCCCTTCCCTAGTCTTTGTTTAAAGGCGAGTTTGGGCTGACCAAAACCTTTCCAATCAAAAGATTCCAGTGCTTCACTGCGAGGGCAATCGCTGTCACGGTCGAATAAACAGAAAAGGGTTTGTGAGAGAGAGTGTCGAGGCAGTGACGCCCCGTGTTACGAAGTGTGTTTTGATTTTTTCTGCTGCGTTTTTCAAAGGCAAACTTGGTGCGCCTGCCTCTGCTGCAGCCATTCCAAGAACCCCCTCGCCCGATCTCCAAGAGCTCTTTGGTCTTGAGCCTCAGTGGGAGACATGAAGGGATACAAAGCGGCCCTACTGGCTGAAGCTATCCGGGGAAAAACAAAATGTCTGCGCTTAGGACCAAACTGGCATGGCCCAAACTGGCAGGACGCTTCACAGAGAAAATTCTGGCCGCGGAGCTCTAAAACAGCTACGGATTTAAGGAGGTCATGGATCCATAGGCTCCAAATGTTCCAATCTCTTCCTGATATCAGCTACGCTCTGCCTTCCAGGGCTTGCTTCGCCGAACGTTTCGCTTCTCATACCGGAAATTCTTGATCGTGATGGTGCTATCTGGGACTTCTGACATGTATCACACTGTTTGACTACCTGGTCATATTCTTCATAAATCTTTGCCGGAATTTTCAAGGTTGATGTGCGTTTCTTGAACCGCTCAGTTGACATGTGATAATGCTTCAAATGCAGTTTCAAAAGTTCTGTAGGATGAGGCAGCTTTTCATGAATTCTCTGCAATGCTAACGGCAATGTTATTGAAACCTTTGGTGCCTTCTTCTCTCTGTTAACTGTGGTCGGTTCAGGTTTCACGTCTTCCTTGGTTTCTTCCTGAGGATCTGGCTTCACCGGCTCATCTGGTTCTGCAGGATGTGCATCTGGCTTACGTGCTCCTGCACTTGAACTCGGAATCTTTGCATGCTCGAATGGCGTTCCAAAGTCAGGTGACCTGACTTTTCTGTCTTCCGGAATGACGGAGGTGTCACCTTCTTGGCCGGTGGAGGCATCGAAATAGGCTTCGAAGGCGGATCGATCTTAGTATCTCCGCTTGCAATCTTCTTTTCCGGCTTTTTCACTGCCGGAATATCGGCTGCTGACTTGTCTTTCTTGACTTCAGATGTGTCTGCCTTCTTGCATCAATCTTTGTACGTATGTGTTCGATGCTTGCCATTGCAGGCTGGACAGGATGCAAGCGAAGGATTGATTGCTGTAAAGCTATGATTCGGCTTTCGAACTGAGCTGGCAAACATCATGATGTCTCAGACATTATGGTTAGAACTGCTCACCGGCAACGAAAAACGTTTCAAGCCGAACAAAGGACAAGTTAGATAGTCGCCGACTGGAGTATGTTCGATTGACATGCGGAGATTGCGTAGTTGTTCCACACTGAACAGAACGTCTCCCTGGTCAAGGATGTCAATTGCAGTAGAAATCCACCCAGTGGGTGCTTGGTCATTCTGGAAGTAGATCACAAGCTTCTCACGAACATTGGATTGCTCACCATTAGCAAATGAGAATTGACTTGATGAAGGCTCGAAGCAGAAATCAATCTTGGTTGAATTGTAGTCTCTCCTACATGCCTTCATGAGACGCATAATGGCGGTCCTGGAGCCCATCGCTCTGGTACAGCCCCTGTCGATGACCGCGTAGGTCGGACTATACCTCAAGTCGACATATTCAGAGAGCAATGCGTGGTGAAACCCATCATCAAAGTTGACAAATGATGAACAGAAACGTGGACCAATCATCTCAGAGCAATCGGAATGTCGGTAGTCTTCATCACCACCAGCAGGGTTTAGGTGATACTGTTGTGAAACATGTTCTGCGCCAGTCAAGCCTTCTGCGTGATGTCCGGAATATCGGATATCTGTTGACTGGTTGTCCTGGTCACTGTCAATGAGTTGTTCGCATATTTTGCGCTTCTGGTACCTGAAGAGCTTCCACGCCCCCATATCTATCAAGCGTGAGCGCGGTGGACCAGAACTTGTTCTCAGCTAATTGCAGCCAGTGACTATCAAGTGACCGGAGACATGGAGAGGAAGGGCGGGGGCCAAACATGGACATGATGCATGAGAATATTTTTACCTTTTGCATGACAAGTGAGATCGCATTGATACTCCCAGTGAAGACACTACTCCTTGGCAAAGCCCGAAATCGATGATGAGCGTATGTGGGGCCAGTGCCCAGGAAAGCATAAGTATAAGACTTTTCGGCGCTGGAAACTTTCATTGCAATGGCCGTGAGTTTGCGCAGTTGGTTTGTCCCACGTCAGTAAAGCTGCTTGCCATGTGGACGCATCTTCGCACAACCTGGGCCCATGATTTTGCCTTGCTTGCTGAGCTAACTTGACAACTGTTTGCTGAAATTGCATGGTAAACAATGATAAAAGACTTAACTTTTTGCAAGCTAGCTGTAGCCAACCAAGTGATGATAGGTCTGGTAAGTGAACGTTTCCAATGTAGACGGATTCAAATCTTTTTGGTATCACCAGTGGTCATATACTATAGGGGTTTGACCCCCACACCTAAACCCGGTGGGCTTAAACAGGAGAAAACCTTTGGCTGAGTCAACCCTGAGGTCCCACATGTGTTTTTTCACCTCCGACAGCCACAAAATGACTACTCGGCATGGTGATATTTCTGGCTATAACCCCGCGAGTTCTGCGTCTCTAGAATGAGTGAACTGTGTGAATGCCATTGAATGTTTATATGCACAGTCTTTCAGTTGCAATGTTTTTTTCCTGACTGCTCTTGTTCGTGTTTGCCGTTTGCTTTGTATTAGTTTCGATCCACAACCCGTTTCGATCCACACCCCCCCCCCGTCCACCCCCTTGGTTTTTGGCGTTTTTTCCTTTGACATGACACTGGAGTTGGAGGTTAGGTCCAGGTCTCATGTGGTTGCGGGAGATGTCGAGGGTCCTTTCCACGGATTCTTCGACGGTGGGAACCGCTGTGTGGATGGACGGAAGAGGTCCGGCTCCGCCACGTTCCTCTTGCTGATGTCCCCTGCCTGCCGCCCAGCTGCAGTCCAAGGGGGGGCGAAGGGCGGCGAGGGCGGGTGGGAAGTCTTGGGTGGCTTGGTTTGGAGCGAATGAGGTATAGGTCATAGAAACCATCAGACTTCTGACAGCGCAGTTTGTGGGCGATTCAAGCGACCGCAAGAACTTGAGTAGGCACCACCTTTGAAGAAAGAATCTTATGCAGAAGAACCGGAAGCTTCAAGGCTGTTGGTGTCCAGATCGTGTTGATTCTTGGATCGATTTGGCTATTGATACCGTACAGGTCTTCTCTTCCTATCCTTGGACGGTGAACACCTTTCATATTCGCTATAATCTTCTTCATGTCTTCCACTTGAGTAGATGCTTGCCAGGGATCCCCCTTATTTTCATGACTTCCCATGGATATTTTCTCCGAACAATCTAATCCCATTTCAACGATGGCCATCAATCCCAGCAGATCTACTTCCGTACCTCTGAGGCCAAATGGAGGCGCGATCTCCGGGCTCAGAGTGGCACGATCTGAGATGGGTTTGCCCGGTGCTGCGGGTGTTTTCTGATCGCTTGGGCGATTTCCTCATGAGGTGACTGTGTGTATTGGTGGAACTTTTGGAGCGGAGATCTAAAGCTTTGTCTACAGGAAAGGCATGCATACATGAGAATCGTGTTCAGCAAGTGGAAAGAAATGAACACCAACAAACATCAATACAAGGTTTTCTCCTCGTGGTCATGGTGGTTTACTCAGCAGGCTGTCAGTAACGCAGCTCCACCATTCGATTCATCACTTCAATAGGATTCCCCCCCCACTTTTCTGTAGACTAGTATATAGACTAGTAACAAGAAGCTACTAGGTTGGAGGCCATCGCTAGTAGGTTGGAGGCCATTGCTACTAGTAACAAGAAGCTACTAGTAACAAGGACGCCACAAGGTTGGAGGCATAATGAACAAGAACACCAGCGATTCTTCTGGCAGGTCTCCACCCAGGGCCACTCAACGGGCGCCACTCGACCGACGCCGGCGCCACCACCGGCACGCGCGGAGGAGTCGGCGCTGCTGGCGGTGCGGCTGCTGGAGCGGGACGCATCCAGCGATGCGGCGACCAGCGGGGCGGAAGGTGTGGCCGAGGCCGAGGCTTTCCAGCGGCTGGTGGTGGTGGAGGTCCTTCTGCAGGTGTGGGACTTGGTGGGGTGCTGGACTGTGGTGGAGACTGAGAGGCAAGTGGGAGAGGATAAGTGTGCGTTTGTTCAAATTACTATTTTGGAAGAGTGGTAAAGACTGCTTGAGAAGCTGCAAGGACATCTCTTTCTACCCACTTTTCTCCCATATTTTTGCCATGTTTCTCTGTGGGGTCAACCATACGCGTGCAACAGCTGCAGGAGCTCCAGCCCGGGCTCTTTGAGCAACCTCGAGTGCACCGACAGCTCGCAAGGTGCCGCGAGCCGGCCAGCGCAGAGAGCGCCACTGCGGATCATGGATGTCCTGATTGGTTTCTGAATGGCTGGTTAGTGGCTTATAGGGTTCAGACACATATATAATGATTGGAGTATTTTCAGAAACTGTTTCCGCAGCGATTTCATTGTGAAACCATTCTCTCCCGTGATTCAGCATCCTTCTCTCGGCTTCTCTGATTTTTTCTGGATCCTTCGCACACAAATCATAGAGTTCTACTGTACAATTGTCACATGTAATGTATATGATAATAATATTACATAACACATGCATCTATCACGATCACTGCTCTTTTGAATCATTTTTGTATGGCCTTTGCGCAGGTGGACCCCTTTTGATCCTGATGGGGAGCCCTATCCTGAGGCCGATGCCGTGGTTGGGTTGGGCAAGGATCGGCTACTCTTCAAAAGGCATGGAATACACGAAGATTCCTGAATGGGGATTGATCAAAACCTGAAGCCTCGACACCACCATGTAGCCAGCGACCTTCACCAAGTAGTTTGGTCAATCCAGGGATTCTGGTCTTGACCCACTGCCAAACAACACCCACAAACAACTTCTACTTCCGGGTTTCGGAAGGTTTCGGAATTCAACCACACCCCGTTCCACTCTCGTTGTCGAATCCACTTGAATCCACACCTGTCTTCGATGAAGCCGTGGTGTAATTATTGGGCGCGTGCGCGCCCCAATCCAGGAGGATGTGGAGGGCTTCACGCAACACTGCCACCGCGCTGCAGTGGGGCCCACGGATACCCGCTGGGCACCTCAGTTGTGTAAGATTCAGTTTGAAGTCACACAGGATCCGTTTTTGTCTATTTTCTCTTTAAAGCAGAGACTTGAGGGAAATCTTCCTGAGAAGAAAAACACATGCCAGACACAGTTGCGGGGGGTACGTGGGCCGGGCAACGCAGCTGTAGAGTGAGTTTGCCTATCCAAGATCACAGACGTCATACCTGCACGCAGAAGAAGCGCTAAAGACTTGTGGTTGAACAATGGCATGTCAGGGATTGAGCTTTTCGCATGCCCCCGGCAAACACTAGATGACAAAGAGGCCGGCTGTTGCCATGTCTGAACAGATGCGTTTAACAGATTCCACAATTCGCTTCAAGCTTCGTCATTTGTCCTCCCACTGACCGACCAGTAGAACTCTTTCTTGAAGTCCACCCCAGTGAGGTATCAGTGGTATCAATCATATCACAGGGAACTGCTTTCAACAAATGGACATGCCTGATTATCACTCACCACCTTTCTACGTCAAGTCTTTTCGCACATGAACTATCTAAGGAAGCAAGCACTCGAAGACCAAGGAAGAATGCATTTTCACTCCACTCCTATCGCTGCGTTTTTCACGTCCTTGTTCGACTGTGACTCGCATTCCGCGAGGCGCCCTTTGGCACCAGATCTTTGGGCGAGTTCTCTGCAGTCCCAGCGTGGTCTCGCGACCCGAGGCGGGAGCCGCGATGGAGCCGACAGAAATGACAGTGGCATAGTACTCAGTGGCAATTTCCGGTTTGAACACAACATATCGTGAAGATGTATGAACATGTAGCATTAGTATAGTGAAGGACCAATGGATTTAGCAGTCTATTTCTTCTCATTCAACATCTTCTGCTTTCAATTTGCATCTCTTTCAAGGCAAATGACCTCTGTACCTCGCCACGTCTGGCTGCCTCTCCCCATCCCTCATGCCCTCGCTAATCGCCAGGACTTCACCGGCTTTGCGGAGGGCTTGAAGATCTACATCCAGCCGTCCCTCGCTTAGACGATGTGTCACTCAAGGCTCGGCTGGCAGTGCCCGGAAACCAAACGGTTGGTCGACTTCTCCGGAAAAACATCTCTTTTCAACCCAAACCGCTAAGGCCGCTAAGGCCGCTAGGCTTCTGGCGCGTACCAAAGCATGGCAGCATGAATCATGTAAAACAACGTGTTCCCCCAAAAAAGGGCCGCCGTCGGAACACGAGGTTGCCCAGCTTGGTGAATGCCGACCGCTCCTTGGGTCGCAAGTTGGACGGGAAGGTTCGGGGAACCCAAAGCGGTTTGGGGTGGCTTTTACCTTTTGACTGGTTTTTGGACGCTAAGTTAAGGGCTCAAGTTGACATTGTTATGTTGATATATGTGTTGACCCTTCCTTTTTGCGATGGGCTTTCAAAGTGCGTGTTGCTGGAATTTTCCGGTTTCTGACCATTTGCTCCTCCCAAGAAGCACAAAATTCACCACGCCAGTCTCCACCAACTCATAGGCTCCACCACTGGGACCGGCGTCACGTTTACGACCAGGCTTGGTCGTGGCCAGTCTAGTGCGCTTGGCCTACAACTACACCTGCGATGCTGGCATTTTTCTTTGCTCCTCGGCCCCGAAAAGTGGCAGATGCGCTGGTTTTTCGGCTTGAGAAGACGATCAGGCGCCTCCAAATTTGGCCCTGTTGATTTGGGGTCAGCTCTTTAACTCCTGCTGGGATCCAAATGGTTCCATATGCGACCATATTGGATCTCATAGACGGGCAGAGGATGGAAGAGGATGGCGGACGTAACAACGGTTGCGGTGGCATCCAACCCGCATGGAGCCACGTGTGCGCTGACTGACCTGATGGTGTCAAGAACGTTTCCAGCAACCTGTGCTTGGGAGTCTTTGGATGTTTCTTTTTGCCCTAGGTCCCTAGGTTTCTGAAAAACAAGGATTTCAGAAAGTGGGTGCATCATGGTGCTTCAGCCAAGCCACACAGAAAACACCAGCAGCGCTTCAGCGGTGTGGGATCCTCCACTCGATGGTGGACACGGCACGTTCAGACCAAGCTGAGGCAGTGAAGATCGCTGGGATGGCAGTTGGTCCACCTGGCGACAGTACATAGGTGCAATGAACGAGTTCAGAGACGTCACTGGTTGTTCATGTAGACGTAAATATTCTTCGGTAAATTTTACCATGAAAAGAGAGATTGTATCTTAGATTCATTTATGATTTGTTTAGTGATTATACCATGAAAGAGTTGAAGACCAAGGTCCAGAGAGTCTGGAGTCTAGTTTTTGAACGCGTGTATCCTTTGCCCGATGTTGGCTGCCTCGAACTTCGCCCCAAAAGCTTGCTCAGCGGTCGAACTCCGAAGCTGGTCGAGGCGAAGTGGCTTTGCTGCAGAAGTTCCTCACGGCACCGCCGGAGGTCCTGGTGACCAATGCCTCAGAGGCGGTGCCTTGCCACTCCGATGGAGTGTGGTGTGGGTTGGCCTGGAGTGATGATGAGGTGGGCGTGGATGGGTGTGAGGACTGGATCTGTGGATTCTGTGGGCGATGTCCATGCTGCTTTTTTGGCATACGCCTATAGTAAGGCCTGCGGTGATGTCTTGCACTGAGGTGCAGAGGGATGCATCTCCTTCTCTTCCAGCGGATCGAACAAGTCTTTTTTTCGAAGGTGAACGGATCCAACTTCGAGGGACCACCCATGCTACGAGCCCAGATGTGGTGGTCGTCTACTGTAGAAGTATGTAGAAATGGCGTGAATGGATGTGAATGGGGGTGAAAAAAAACTGGTGGACGTTGCCCCCTTGACGGATATTTTTGCGGGGCGATGGTTGCGAGAAATCTTGCCTGCTCCGCCTCAGATGGGATTCTTCCAAACCGTTAGACTGGGGAAACTCTGCACAAATTTGCTACTAGGAACAAGTGCCACGCTAGTAGTAACAAGTGCCTTACTAGTAGTAACAATGTTTGCTATTAGAAACAAGTGCCTTACTACTAGGAACAAGTGCCTTACCGTTAGACTGGGAAGCCTTAGGACCTCATCCTCGTGCCACTTTTGCCTGGAGCCCTGGAGTGACCAGCCAGCTCGACGGCGGATACCTCTCACCGTAAAGGCGGCCCGTGGCGCTTTTGGTGATGGCCGCGTGCTCTTCGGACTTCGTGGCCTTTTCATGCCTTTTTCTCTCTTTTGGCATTCCCGATGCCTCTCATTTTGAAGATTTGATCAACCTTGAAGAAAGGCTTCAGAAGTGAACGAAAAGACGATGTTTTCTGGCTGGTCGGTTGGGCTGTGGCCGCACTGAGGTCGCAATTCCTGAGCAACTGGTGGATCTTCAAGCAGGCCAGCGTGGATGTGACACAGGTTTTCGGTGGTTCAACACAATGTGGACACCACAAAAGTACACAGTGTAGTATACTTACCCTAGACGTCCAAAGACTATTTTCGGCACCACCCAAGTGAAGGAAGTTCCTTTTCGGATCACCTTTTAAGACCGATCAAAAAAGAAGTCTTTGACTTTCCAGGGCCTACACACCTTTTCAACCACAACGGACACTAGTGACAGTGCACTCTCAGTGTGGCCTTGCTCAGGCGGCGCGCGGCTGCCCCCGGGAGCTTCTGAAGTGCGCCCACGGGCGATGAATCGGGGGCGAGGCGATGGTATAGCGTTTGGGAACAGCAGCTGTGGGGGTTCGGGGGAATATTGGGGATGTACATCCTACAAGTAAGTGAACACATGTGGACAACCGCCACCAAAAAGGGAACAAAAAGGGGGCATGTCTAGCCGGTGACTCCTTAAAAGGTGAGAAACAACATGATCTAATTAGCTTCGGTTCAATTCCGCTCGCATCCAGGTACCTGAAGCACATGGAGTGGCCTCAGAAGTATGGCATTCACGTCTTTCCCTATGCGGATCACATGATCCTCAGCAGAAAAACGTTTAGCAAACCAGACCGAAGGCAGCTTTGAGCAGAGCAATGTGATTGCAGGAACCGTTTGTTTTGCTGGAAAGAATATTTGACCATATTTGACCCATGTTTCTTTTTGGAATGAGCTTGATGTTTCATCTTCCATTAATTATGGAGTTGTATCCAGATTTGAGGAACACCTCTTGGTTCTTGGAGAGAGCAACAAAAAGCAGACTGCTGCCAAGAAGGATGTTTCCATCAGCGTTGACCGGGCTCCAGAACTCACTCCACTGCCCGACATTTCCCGAAGACACTCCACACTGCCCAGGATGAACATGAGGCACACGGGGCGCCTTGAGTCGAACGAGTCGAACGTTCAGAGCTGTTCCGAAGGCTTTGGCTTTATCAGTTTGTCCCAGTGGTCCTCAAGATATGCTCAGATAGGTTAGATGAACGAAAAAGACTTCATCATTCGAGTGCACCCCATGCCTTGTTCCCCCGGACCTCGCGGGACCTCTCACGATTCCTTTGCTACAGCACGAGAACGGGCTGTGGCTGCGTCCGTTTCGCAAGGGAACACGACGTGGGGGGCCTGCTCTCGATCTACGCCATGTCCACGGAGAAGCGATGCGGCGCCGAAGCACGCGTCGTCCCGTGTCGACGAGCACCGTTCCAAGGCGTTCGTGAAGGGTCGAACCGGGGGGGACGTCGAAAGAGACAGGATGAGGATGAGGTCACCCTATACTGTCTTTGGCCCAATACCGTTTGGAAGCTTGGAAGACGGTCGCGAGAGCGAGCCAAGGGACCCCCAGTGACGAGGACACGATCTTCATCTCCTTCGGCACCGAGATGGCCAGCCCTACGCACATCACCATGCGGCGTCCTTGGTGCCGTGCGAGTTACTGATCCGGAATCCCCGATCCAAGGCATTCCATCGTGGTTCAGGATGCTTGTGCTGTGTATTGGATCCCCACTTGCAAGTTGCACAGGCTTTGAGGGTCATTCCGATGGGTGGGATACTATTCCATTGCCGGAGAGTCGGCTGGTCCGAGGCCCTCCCTCCTGACGGATCCAAATCTGCAGCCTTCCGCTGAGGCCAAGTGACCGATTGGTCAAGAAGAGCCCTGAAGTAGATGGAACGAAGTAGATGGAACAACCATGGGCACATGGAGGAACAATGAGGCAAGGATCGAATTGTGCAATATTCTCGTTGCAGTAGAAATTAATCTCCGGAAAAGGAAGGAAGATTCAGACATGAGATTCTGGATTGGACACCCAGTCCTAAGGACTGCAGTCTGTTTGAGAGGTGTTGATGGAGAAGGATATCTTCCTGATTTACTCAGCCTGGAAGCCCAGATGAGGATGAGGTCGTGATATGGTCTTGCAAGCAGTATTGTGTCTGTATGTGCCTTGGGCGCTGCGGCAAGCAAACTGTTTGCGGCTGTGTGGATGTACGGCCGGTTCACTTCGATGTACGGCTCACCTGACATATCAAATAACATAAATACTACACAAAACACCAGAAGTCGGAACCACTCAAGTCAGCAAACATGGAGTGTTTGGGTAGGATACTCTGCCATTTGGAACACTTCAACATACCCTTGAGCCTTGAGCATACTCGTACATAGCTCAAGGTGAGCTGATCAATGAAAGCCACCCAGCAGTATGCCCCCCAAAGCCAGAATGGTCCACTTGGGGATGTTACGTCTTCAGATGTCTTCAGTTTTACATCCAAACACATCCAAACACCACATGCAGACTTTGTGACTTTGTGGACTAAACACTTTTCCTCATGACGTTTTCGGATTTCGGCGGGTGGAGCTTCCGCAGACATCGGCGGGTCTGAGGAGAGCATCGGCTGTTGCCACCCGGTGCGGAAGTTCCTCTATGATTCTCGGCAATTCTAAGAAAACCAGAGGTGTGACTGGATGGAAATGGAGGAGTTACCTGTAGTTTGTGCAGTTTTGAAAGGATTCAATACTATGGTTGAGGCTGCCATCCCTTTTGACAGGGGTTGTCAATGGTTGTAATGCAATGCTGTTGGTCATGGCCAGCGAAGTACTAACTGCCATCATCAAAGCAGCAATAGTCCTGCTTTTGACAGACGAACCAATGCCTACAGTGTACCTCTCTCAGAATCCTTTGGAACAATCAGAATCACTCTGTAAGGACAGCCTGGAGCGCTTCTGCGACCGCGCTGCTCCCGCGGCAGGGAGCACACGCGTCCAGCGCCGGTGTTTGCTGCAGCCGCGCAGCCGGTCCAAGCCCAGTGATGCGACGGAGCCGCTGCGGCGCTTTTCGTGTGCCGTGTGTGTAGTGGAAAAGAGCAGCCTTCGCAGGGGCCACCGTCCACTTCAATAGTTCGTGAGTCAGTTCGGCTTGGAATCAATGGAACCCCACAAGCATGAAGCGAGGCCACGCTGTTTTGAGATGTATTCATGCGTTGGAATGGTGAGAGTTGCTGGATTGACGTATGAAGGAGCCGCCCCATGTCCTCTTTGAACTTGGTACACTCTAATGGGCATCCAACTACGTTGTCAGATTGGATCAAGGGTTCTGTGATTTTCACATTCTCTTTGAGAAGGACGAAGCCTGTTTCTTGAGAGCTCAATTGCACAAATCGTCTACGCGGTCTGTTTGGCTTGAGCCACGGCAGACCTCAGGAGCCCTCACGGCAGACCCATGGGCTTTCGCAGGTGCGGTCGAACCTGTTGAGGTGATGCGATGTGGCGGGACCACCGGCAGTCGGGGGATCCACCACTTGGAGGATGACGGTTTCTATGGATTTCTCACAGATGATGTGGCCATGACGGATGTGTGTGATTGACCTTTCAACAGGTGAAACTTTAAATTCATTGATAAATTCTTTTGCAGGTTGTATGGGGACGAATTTTGTTTCGAGCGGGGCTTCGCGGCTTCGGGGTTCTATCCTAGGATTTGGAAGATTACAGGTTGCGGAAGTTGGGGATGGCTCTCGACTTCTCCTTTTTGAAGACCTGTTTCAGGCGGCACCAGCAAACAGCCGTGCTGAAGCCGTTTTTTCAACACCCGTGTGATCAACCCGGCGCACGCGCGCGACCGGCGAGGCAGACCAGGCCTCGTTCAATGATGCGATGCGCCGCAGCATCTTCTGCCCCATGGGGCCGGGGGATACTCCTCACAGGTGCGGTCGAACCGGAGCTCCGAACTGCGGAGTGGGGAGAACGTCCATGTGCGGTGTGGTGAGGTGTGGTGAGAGGTGCTCTCAGGATACTCAGGTGTTGATACCATGAGGATTGTTAAGGTCCATGATTGTCAATTTAGAGGTGCCTTCGGGGGGTTGACTCCAGTTGCAAGTGTTTTTTTCTTGTGTTATGTATTTTTCTACCTCCACAGCCACAGCCAATCGAAGCGGGTTTACGGCCATGAAGTGACTGTGTGTTCTGTCTGAAGGACCCTAAGTGTTAAGACTATCGATTCCGTGACTGGAAGACATTTGTGCCTCATCCCTTCGCTGGCGGAGGCACAAGTTCTACCATGCCACTTGGCACGACAGGGGCCTGAGTTGGGCTTCACCAGGGGCGCCTGCCACATCCGCCGATGGGGCATGACATGTCCACACTGCAGGGGTGGTTTTGCTTGTGCTGAGCCTGCACTTTTCCTGCCGCAGCTGAGGCCATCTTGGCGGGATGCATTCCGGTGCTCTTCGACTTCGTTTCCTACTTCCCGGGACAGAGGACCATCCAATGGGTCACCATCAAGCCACGGGATCACCATTGGATAAGAAAGCTGAGCTTTTAAGATGCAGAAGAAGACATTGGGTCGACCCGTTGCAGCTTTCCTTCGATGTAAAGGTTCATAAAAGTTTTTGGACTCGCCATAAACAGCCTAACAAAAACTGTGGTGCTCGCTTGGTGTTCGGACTGTGGAATTGAAGTTTGAAGGAGTTGGTGGCGCGAGTATGGCTCTCCCTACCAGTACTCCGTGCCGTTCCCTGAGGACCAGCCACGCGACTAAAGTAAGGGTTGTCCTGTGGACACAGAAAGCAGTCGCGATCATCCGACTCCTGTTTATCCTGGTTGGCTCATATTGGCTCTATGATCTCCGTGGAGACAAGTTCAACATGTTCAATGAAGACGAAGAGTTCTTGTGCCACGATGGTTGATGGTGTGAACAGTATTTGATGTGAGCATGTTTCAGTCTGGATGATTACCGATTGCTTAGATTAGAACATATACAGTAACCTTTTGTGCTGATGAGGACATCCCTTATGGAGACATGGTTCGGGCCCGAGCCATCCTTACCAGACTGGCCAGAAGGGCATGCAACCAAGGTGAAGCTGGATCTTAGGCGTGGGTTGATCCATGGATCTTCATATCTTGGCTTGTTCATCTTAATTCTGTCAAATGTCAATGGATCTTCATTGCAAAGACCGGCTAGTGTAACTGTGTAACTGCTGGGTTGAGGCGATTGCTGCTGGTCACCCTAGGTGAACCCCTGCCTGCCACAAAACTGCTCCGAAGCGAAGGATCCGAAGTGGAGATCCATGGAGATGCAGAATCATTTCTTGAAGCCAACCGACCCAATATCTCAACTCAGGTCCAAACCCCACCCGAAATACCCGAACCGAACCCGTTGTCTGCAGACTCCGCTGGACGTCGGCGGCGTGCCTTGCCCCAAGGTGGTCGTGGTGCCCTGCGAAGACTACGCAGCCGCGGCGGAGCACCTGGTGCAACGGCTGCAGCGGATGACGCTCGAGGAGCGGTGTTGGTTGGGGCGGAAAGTGGTGGACACGGAGTTGGAAGCGTCAGGGAATCAGAATCATCAGATCGTCGCCATCATGTTCGCTTGTTTTTTGGGCGACGAGATGGCGAAGATGTGTGGAAGATATGTGAATTATCACGGGTCAAAGCGAGCTTTGATGTGATTCTTTGGGCTGGTTCTTTCGGATGACAAGAAGACGATCAAACTGAGCTGGTGGGGGTGTTCCACTCCCCTGTGAATGCTTTTGGTGGTGTGAAGCGCTCAAAGAACACACGCTTTTCATTGTAACATCACGGCTAGAAGTATGGTTTAGGACTCAGACTCAGACCTGCCAACTAATTAACATATTCACTATAACGATCTGCCAAGAACCTACCGCACCGGTCATTTCCCGGATGTCGCACTTCATTGTCGCTCACCGCCTGGTCGCAGCAGCTGTGATCCTTCGGCACCGCCATGCCTGGCCGTCAGCCGATCCACCCAGGAGATCGCCCGTCGCCAAGCCTTGCTGCGGCGCGCGCGGCAGTTCATGACCTTCCAGTGGGATGGATCTCAGCCGGACGCCTTCACGGCGCGCGGAGTGAACAGTGCGGTGCTGTGGAGTCTTGTCAAAATCACCTGGCAAATGATCCTTTTAAGTCCAATCGATTTCCTGGTTTGCTGTACCACTCGGATGGACCAGCTGGGTGGGTTCCACTGACTGGCGAGCTCTGGCGCATGACTGAGCCCATGTGGGGAGGCCATCATGCAGCGGATTGGGCGCTTTGTGCGCAAGCAACCGCAGATCCGGTAGAAAGCTGCGTCCGAAGGTGCCTTGTTTGCGCCGTGTGAGTGGTGTTTGGGCTAGGGAGGTGCCGCACCTCGCTTCCAAATGGCAGCCTCTTCAGCCACGAACCATGCCATGAACATGCTGCCGGGAGAAGAACCTCTAGAGACCTGTGGCCAGGGATCTAGGCCTTCCCTCAAGTTGGAAGTGAGTCCGTGAGTGACAGCGATCCGTGAGTGACGGCGATCCATGATCGGATGTTCAGGGGAGAATTAGTCAGAGTAAGCCCAGACCTTCCTCGTTGATCCATCAGGGCAGTTGCGAGCTGCGCCACGATGCGCCATGATGCTTTGAGCCTGTGATTGAGGCGAATTTGTCGTGGTAGTGGTGTTGTGGTGAGCGTAGCAGAAGATGTGATCTAACTATGTGAAGGTTTTTATACAAACAGGAAGATCATGTCTTGAAAGTGTTGCGTTCAAATACCAATTCCAGAGGCTGATCCTCCCAAATTGCTATTTCCGGTACGGCAACGTAGAGGCTTTTTAGGGTCATACTTTTGGAGGAGGCCTCCCGAAACACGCCATGATGCTGACTTTTTTTTGAGCTGTTCGCTTTTTGCTTTCAGAGAAAGCCGGAGGCTGGGTGACTTTCTTCATGGGACTTCTTGTTTCAGAAATGCCTTACCGGGCCTTACCCGGTATCCCTTAGAACCGTTGCACTCCGCATTTCTCAAGCATGGAAGAAGTCGTTTTCAGTTGCTAATCTGAAGAAGTCTTTGTAGAGCCCCACCATGGCGGACAAGTCCAGTGCCACAGTCCAGTGCCACACGGCGGTGGACGAGTTCATGCGAGACGCCGAAGGCATATTTGCAGGTCGAGAAGCAGAGCATAGCGTGATGCTCGGTGTGCTGGGCAACTTGCAGAAGGACATGCACTTTTACCAGGTCACACCTCAGTTGTTGGCTCTTCATGGATCGAAGTCATCTGCTGTACTGGTGGCCAGCATGGTTCATCCATTTCCCCTGGTGCTCTCTCTACCGGCACCCGAGTCATCGGAGGAAGACGTGCAGGGAGCGCTCCGGTGTTTGGCACACTATGTGGAACACGTGCTGGGCGAGAAGAAGCTCTTCCCGGTGAAGCTGGTGGGGCATCCGGAACGGGTGACCTTCTTGGTGGAGCAGCTCCGGCGTGCGTCGCTGGAACGGGCAGGGTCGTTGACGCCTGGGCATCGCATGCAGTTCTACCGCCTGAGTCCGGAGGCCTTACTGGAACCACGGTTAAGAATGGAGGATGACCCCAGCTTGGCAGTACGGCCGTATGAACCTGAAAGAGATGCTGGGTGGATACGCAAGTGGCTTCATCAGTTCCAGGTGGATGCCATGGGGTGCGCACAGGACCATGTGGTGGAGAACCAATTGTCTGAACTTGCCAGGTTGCCAGCCGAAGCGCGTGGCATGTTTTTGCTCTTCACGGGCGACGAATTTGTGAGCTTTGCCGGTTATGGAGGGGCAACGGCCAATACCATGCGTGTCACGGGGGTGTTCACTTCTCCAGATTTTCGAGGTCGTGGATATGGACAGCTCGTCTGTTGGTACGCGTGTCGATACTTGTTGACTCCAGTGGCAGCGCACGGCCTCGAGCGTACAGCTGTGGTGATAGCGGCTGACGCTGCTAAGTGCTCGGTCATGGGGATATACAAGCGCTTAGGCTTCACTGAAACTACCCAGTTCCAGGAATATGTGAACGGAGAAGCTTTGGCAGCACCTAGCTGAGCTGACATGATGCCAGATGGAGCTGGCTTTTGCTGAGAGGTTTTAACTGCTCATCATGCGGATGCGATGCGTGTACAGTGTACAGACAGATGATCTTGACACAGGGGAGGTCTTTTGTACTGCCTCGTTTGCCCTTCCATTATGTGTGCAGATAGAAGCATTCGCACATCGGAAAGGGAGCCTTAAATCGAGTGAAATCCTGTTATCCAACACGAAAGCATGCCAATTCTAGTTCAAAATCCTCTCGACGCCCCTGCCAGGGCAACGTGGAGAAGGTCTTTCCTTGGCGCCAACACGGTTGAGATGTGCTGGGGGCAAAACTGTTTGTCGTGGCTGCTACAGGAATGATCTGATAATATGTGAGGACCTTTAAGCTTTATCGTGTATTCCGTCTTTGAGTAACGGGTTTGGTCCAAGCATGTCCAAGCCGAAGCAGTCCATAGCGGTTGTAGGTGAAGTGAAGCAGTCCATAGCAGTCCTCTCCTTTGCTCAACAATCCTCTCGGTTTGCATCGGTGCCGTCGCCCAAGCGACGCCCAAAACAACGACGCATCCACAGACTGTCGCCCTGGGCATCACGTGAGAAGCCAGTCGCAGCCAGTCGCAGGCACGCCAAAATTTAAAATGGATGGATTTGATGACCAAAAAGACAAGTATTGAAGGTATCGTGCCACTCTCATTCCGGCCCACCTGCAAGGAGATTGGGTACTGGCAGTGCAAGAACTGGCATGTCGACTTAAATCAGAAGCCAAATCCAGACGCACCAATGCGGGACGGGGCAATTGTACGCACACTCCCTTCACACTGCTGATTGTTTGTTTGGCATTGGTCAGCATGGTACTTGCGTGCCTGAAGATTAAGCCGTTGCAGCTGTGAAGACACCAGTGTCTACACAAGCGCTTCAGAATTTTCGGTCGCTAAGATGGAAGCGCTTTCGTTGACAGAACAGGCCTCACTTCAGCAAAACAAGTTGATCAGGACTGATGAACACATCATTCTGACAGAGAATGCTTCCTACATGTCATCTACGGCTTCGATTTCCTTGGAGGACATGCGGAAAGAACAACAAGCAAGGGAGGCTGATGGCTCAAGGGCCTCCCCAAAAGCCATCAAGACTAATGAATGTAGATAGTTCCGGCATGTCCGGGCAACAAACAGCATCCTGTCGCAAGCATGTATTTCTGTCGTACACTGACACTTATGTAACATTATCGAAGCGTTGGATGTCATTTTGGCAGAACGTCTTCCTTGTCCAAAGGTCTGAACCAGACAGTGTCTTCCTTGCTCGAAAGACAGCGTCTCTCAGGGACTTGGTTCGAAAGCACCAGCTCCGAAGTGGACATGTTGCATCCGAGGAAACGCCCCACGTTTGCGGTGTAAAGGAAGAGGCTGCTTGTTTCCAAGTCAATGGGGCGCAGGTGTTTCTTTTTTTCTGACCGTTCTTGTTTGGCGGGCCATTTACCAAGTGCGGATCACTATGGCTGCTTCAAGAGCTGTTTCCTTGCTCCAAAAATGCAGTTTAGATGAAGACAAGTCATCAGAACGCTGGTCATGACTGCTTCAATCCAGTGGCCAAGTGAGCTCGTCCTTTCTATTTTGGATCTTAGATCGGAGGTTGGAGTTGCGAAAGAAAGTTATATTACAGATGTTTGTCCACAGTTGAAAGAGAAGTCATGCAGAATGATATCACATGATTCACCCATCTCCCATCCTCTACAGGCTAGGTTAGGGACAGACTCGAAACGATTAGACATCATCGGACTGAGCGAATGCCATGGCCACTCTAGAGGAGGACGGGCGGACCCTGCTTTGACCTGGAGGATTCAACTGGGCGTTTTGAATTTTGAGAGTCGGACGATGTTTCGGCTTCAATTTCCGAAATTAGGGCCTCTCAAAAAAAGGCGATTCAAACAAACGGACCTCAAATCTCCAAGCAGAGTCCCGCTTATGAATTCCATATTCGTACTCAGGGGCCATCGCAAAGACAATTTTGTTTCTTCGTTGCTCCTCGCCGCGTGCAGGAACTGCGCCTCCTGGGTGAAGGCTCCGGTTCTCGCATTCCCTGAAAGCCTCTTCTCAAACCGGCAAAGGGGAGCTAATTAATTGGGTTTGTTTACTGCTTAAGTACTACCTGCAATTGAAAAGTCATGTCAAGCGTCAAGATGGTAAAGGGCTATTAGTTGTTAGATGAATATGACATAGGCGATAGTATTGGCCGGTATTGGCTCAGTAAAAGGGATTGATGAGTATGTGCGGCGTGATTCATGCTCCTAACCGAGTGGTTGCCTCGTAGTGTCTCCTTCATGTCTTGCACAAGTGAGGAACCACTCTGACCATCCCTCAGACGAAGCGAACCAGCAACTATGCCGAGAGAACTTAAGTATGTCTATGTCTATTTCTATCGCAAGTTTGGTTAACCCTTTTGTAGCGTATCTAAATAGACCAAGGGTTCAGGTTGAGGGTTCACAACGTCCTGACCCAACCCCCCCTTTCGTGGTTTTGCCTTCCCCGTCATAGTCAGGCGACCGACCTATTTCCCGGCGCCAAGTGGACAGTGGAGCGGTTGAGGTTTAGCCATGCCTTGGGCTGGGCTTAGGGATGATTTGAAGATGCTTAGGGAGGTGGCTTTGCATTCATTTTTTGGTGACTTCCAACTGAAGTGGAGGTTATTTATCATGTTCTTCTCTGAGATTCTTGGCAACGGGGTGTTTTTCTTCTTGCTTGTGGGTATGAGCTGCTGTTGTACAAAGTAGACCTACCTTCCGGATTTGATGTATTGGACGAGATATGATGAGATGGACCTTGACAAAATTCCGGCATAATTGCTTTGGGAGGAAGTTTAAGGTGGCTGCCCCAGGCATCCTTGATTATGCAGCAATTTAAGAGGAACAGCCCCTTGAAGAGCATTTCACTATAAACTGGGTAGTGGTGCATTTGCCTGTTTACGATGGGTTGAAAAGCTTTTGGGTTGTAGATGGTTGTATGTCGGAAGGACGAAGACACATTTAGTTGTGTGAGAAACGCCAACGAAGACGACCTCATGTGAGAGCCAAGTAAGCTGTGGAGCACGTGAGGATGTGAGGATGTTTCAATTCTAACAGGATGTTTTTGGCCAAGTAGCTGGCTCCTTTAGTGCAAGGTAAACAAAGGGAGCCAGCGCAGTGTTTTGCCAGAACCTCCCAAGGGCAAACTGTGTGGCCCCCATTTGCCAGCGTGTCCTGACAAACCTGGTTGTATGGGATACGCACACTTACCTCATTTCAATAGTCTCCCTCTATCAACTGACAAGAGACTGGCCGGGCAAGCGAAATGATCAAACCAGCAGTAAGCTCATAGCCAGGTTCCATAACGAGGATCCTCCCCACTTCTGCATGTGAGCCATGTCACCCAAGACATTTTTTAAAACTGAGAAGGGCGATAAGACGATGTCAAGCAAGCTTCTTGACCTCAAACAAGGGACAAACCCTACACAGTCACTGAGCCCAAGATGGTCGCACCCATGGATGGAGAGACGGCAGGACTCGGGGTTAGTCCACCTTTCACGTGGCCGCTTCACGGCTCAGAGGGGTGTCCAAGCCCGCAGCCATGAGTGGCGAGCCGGACGAGCCCGACGTGCCTGGGACGGGCAGAGGGGCGGGAGGGGCTGGCAAACTGAATCCCAAACACCACAGCCATGGAGTCTTTTTTGTCTTTTTTGGGGGAACACGTCCTGAGTTTGAGACATCGTCAGAACTTGGGATTGCTGAAGGTATCTGCAGTATCCATTCGTGTTCTGGTGATCCCCAACTTTCCAAGGAGCGCACCCCACGATAAAAATGGGACACAGGCCCTTGGGGGGGGGTGGTCTATGCCAAAGCCATTCAGGGCTGATTTTGTTTTGGATCCATTGATCCATTCCAAACCTGCTCCAAATTGTTTCCGAGTCATCATTCACAAGTGGTACACTTCAATCAAAACGACAGCTCATTGTAGATGACGAGGGTCAGAGCATGAGTTCCTTCTGCAACCCACGAGGATCCACGAGCTCACCTTTGGGAAAGACATGGATAGACATCGCATCGATGTCCTTTCCAACCAAGAAGGGTGCATGTTTTTCTTCAGAAACATCTCACCAAGAGCTCAAGCCCCCTTCACTCGTCTCCTCTCCTCGTCGAAATTCCGAACAAGACCTCACTCGGCTCCAGGTGCATGGCCTCATCGCCCAGGCGGGCGATGCTGCCGGCCTCGCCGAGGTGCAAGCCGGTGGAGGCACACGATGGTGGGCGGGGGTGCTTGTGGAGGGACTGGTGGTGGTCTGCCCGGTTGTGGTGATGCATGGTGTGCCGTTCTGTTTTTCGTTTATTTTTTGAATGTTTTGGTGGCGCTTGGTGGCACTTTATTGGTGGTCAGTGTAGGCAGATTTGGATGTGCCTGGATGTGCAGAGATAGAGAGCAGCGTTGGCCTGCTTTGACAAGTGGTTTCGGAGAAGAGATGCTTTTGAAACTCCAACCACCTCCCCCTGACAACTTCCACTGAAGACTTTCAATGTTTGCTTGTAGAAGCCCGCCAGGAAGAAGAATAGTCACTAGAATCACTAGAACTTACCCCGAAATGCCTGAGGTGGGAAGATCAGACTCTCAGCTTTGGCCCGCTGGCAGCGTCGCCAGGCCAGGTGGCTGCAGCTGAGGCCGCCGCGCGGGCGGTGGCAGCCCGGCCAAGCACCAGTCGAGAGGTTTGGAGTTCGAAACACTTCTACTTTTTTTGATTGTACTTCCAAATCACAGTCTGTAGACAGTTCTGTAGACTATAGCCTATAGCTTTGTTACCGGTCTTGTTCAGCCTTTTGAAGTGGAAATGTCGGTGAACAGGTTCTGGGCGTGGGTGCTGGGCGTTGCAGGGCGAAGCGCGTCAAATCGAGATCCACAGGATTTGGTGCACAAAACGATGTCCTAAGAGATCTCTGTTTTGCGTTTGTTGGCCATCCGAACGACTGAGGTGAAGGCGGCTGAGGAGCATGGGGTGCTCCTAGCTGAGCTTCAAGAGCATCTTGGTGCGGAGGGAAAACCTGGTGCTGTGGTGCTGTTAGAGAGGACAGGATGCTCCCAAAAAGCTTGGGCCTTTCAATTCTCGGGTCTCAAACGCTTTCGTTTCGCCCGCGGTATGGAGCGCAGAAGCGGAAGATTGGGTGGTTGTGGGCCTGGACTCGCTGAGGTGATCTACATGGATCTCAGGATGTAACAGAGGGTTCTGATGCCGTTGTCTTTTTCAGGTCACCGATTCCTATTTGCAGTTGTTGATACGTAGATCATCGTAGATCATCGTAGATCGGAAAAACACGGGACATTGGTGCAATTCCGATCATCGTGTCCATGCAATGAATCATCCCGCACAAACAAAATCACAATCACTCCATCCAATCACAACTGGTTGATCGGTTGATCATAGTTGATCCATGGTTGATCCTACAGCAGCAACTTCTGCGCGACTGAGGGTCATCGGCCTCTCCTGCGCGCGCAGCGCAATGCAGGCGGTCTCTGTGGAGGCCAGTGACCATTGGACGGTCTACCAAGTTGGCAGGGGGTGGAGACGGTGTCGGTGTCAATTTAGTCGGTCCTCCGTGGTGAGCGATGAAGCAGCTCAACAGGTTTCTTTTTCTTTGGCACTTGTTCCCTCACATAGGAGACTCTTTCCCATTTCAGATGACCCGAGATGGTTGGAGCACGCTTCCATCCGTCGTTGCTCCGAGGATCCCACGCTGACCATCTCGGAGATCGTGGCTTCGACGGGAAGGGGACCGGTCGAACGGGACGGTCTGCCTGGACGGGTCGATGCGGAGTCGTAAACTGGTGGCCGATGGCCATGGAGACACGGCGGTTCGCTGCGGTTTGGGAGGATGTTTTCCTTGAGCCATACCATAGGATACCTCACCATGGGTCAAATGAACATGCAGTGAGAGAGTCATGTGAGAGCAAACATGTTTTTCAAGTCCAAGATCGGAACCGGGTCTCCTGATCCGATCTCCCTGCATTTGCTTCTTTCTTCCTTCATTTCTGATTTTTGCCAATGGATCGTGCATCCTGTTGCGAGCCCTGTCTTTTTGGGGCGCGGGGCGTCAGCGGTTTTTCAGTGCCTGTGCCTGTGCGTCGTCAGCGGTCGATGAGCCGATCGCTTCTCGGACGACGAGTGACGACCTTGACTCGGACCGAGGCGAGATGTCTAAGCCCTGACTCGATGTCCCAGCTGAAGGTGCCTGGGGTTTTGTGCTTGGGGTGTTTGTAAAGGGTGTTTTCCTTTTTTTTTGGTGGGGGGGGTTTTGGCCTACTTTTGGCTTTGGGGGTGGACAAGTTGGGTGGACAGTGTTGGTTGAACTTCGTTGGATTCATGGGTGATTCAGAGTCCTTGAGAAGATTGGGGTTGCTTTACATTTTGATCATTGATGCCAGAGGTAGGGCCCTAGGGATGGTACAGATGGACATCCCCTTTGTTCAAGGGTATAGCATGGCGTGCATGATGTGCTTGCTTGTTCGAGAGACATCATGGGGTGTTCATTGAAGTACCTCCTTATTGAAGACAAGACGGAACTTGTGATGAAACGGCTGCGAGAAGTTTCTATCCACCTGCCAGTGTCTCCAAGTCAAGGGAGTCCCGCCAAAGATGTCAAAGGAAACGCGGAAATGAACTGGAGAACCAAGATGGTCTCAGTTTTCTCTTTTTTCTCAGACCAGATACCAAACAGCAGGCAAACCGAAGGCAAACCACTGGTTTTCCCCGCTGCTTCGCCGCTTCCTGCAGGGGGAAACCTTAAGGCGGACCACCGAGCGTGAGGACCTCAGTTGGAAGAACCGCTTTGGAGTGGTCTCCGAATTCGCGGGAAGAACCGTCCACGGATTTTTTGGTTTGGGCGGGGACAGGCCGGGACAGATCAATTATTGATGCAGAGAACAACAAAACACAGCCTGAATCTGAACTTTGTACATGTTTGTTCTGTTTCATCTTCACTTAGTTCCACTACACAGGACCTGCGTGGGCTTCCCACAACGTGTTTCTTGACATGGCTGGCTCGACACTCCTCACCCTTTGACTTCCTTCATTGCAATGCCCTGCGAGTTTACTGTCGCACGCTGGCACAGGTATGCCCAGGTTGTTCTAACAGCATCACACACAATTAGATGATTATAGACATATAGATGTAATTAACGCGTTTAAGTCTTCACAGATGATTTAGATCTTTGCAAGCGCGTTTTTGTTTGCCTCAAGTGTACACATGCTTGGCAATTCGGCAAGGTGATTCTGAATTCTAAGGGGTCCGGCCGGAGTCTTTTGGTTCTTTGAACGGTATTTTTTGTCCGAGAAGAAGAGTTCCACTGGAAGACTTGACCAGTTCCCGTCCAGAAGCGGTGGGGCTACAGGTAGCGACCGGATCACGCCGAACGAATTGAAGAAGCGCCTCGGTTGCGGATCTGGAGAGGAGTTGAGATGGGAAACTGTCATTGGTAGATGCAGAGTGAGAGCTAATCTACTTATTGGTTTTGGTATTGTATTGTGTTTGGGAATTTTTTGGATTCTTTTGGCCCCAGCAACGTGCCCCAAGTTTGATACGGGTGATACACCTCAACTGCAACTTGGTGAGGACAGCGTTGAAGTGGGCCATGATTACTTTATGTATATTTCTCGGTAGCTCCTTGTAGCTTACTGGTGCGGAGTTAGCAGGTCAATTCGGGAAGACGTTCTCTTTCCACGCGAAAGAACTCAGAACACTTGGATCGCACACTCTTTCCAAAGCGAGTTCTTTCCGTATGCGATCCACGTCCTTTTCTCCATGGGGTCCGGTCACATCCGTCCCTTTTCTCCGCACGGACCGAGGATCTTCAGACAGATCGGCTTGGATCTCAACGACGACGCCTGGCCGCAGGCGCTGGCACCGCTCCTGTCGGCCGAGTTGGTTGGCAGCGAAGGGCGAAAGCGAAGAGCGAACTGGATGAGCGAAAGGAACTGTTTGAGAGAAACACAGGGCGAAAAGGGGCTTTCTATAGGCATCTCTTTCTACTGAACTCCAACCTTAAAAAGGTCTCAGGTAGCTTGTGATCCACTATATAATAGTTATTGAATTATGCGATGCATCCTACGTTTGATGGCCATTCGAGAGACCTCCTGGGCGACTTGCCAGGTCTTTCAGGAGCTGGACCGGGATGCTCAGGGCCGAATCCGCTTCTTGGAATGGGCATTGACAGCGGGAGACCGTGGGATTGGCTCTGAAGCAGGGGGCAACGCTAGCGATGTAGAACCGTCAAATGAGGGGTTGGTGGATCTCTGTGGGATCCGAACACTCAGCATGTCAACGCTGTCTTCAAAGAAATAGAAAAGGGCCCCCAGACCTGGGCGACACCTATAGGGCTGTAGCGGAGACAAAGACGGTGTTGCCGTTTTGGGTGCGTGGCGAGCCGATGTTCGTTCTTGCGGCAGACAAAGACGATTGTGGTGGGTGTATATGTTTGATAGGTTTGTGCTGTTTCTAGCATCAATCCATGTCGATGGCTACTCCTCTAGTGGGATCCTTCGAACACTTGGAGGGGCTTCAAGGAACCCATTCGCGACATGCGCTGGGCACTGCAACCTCTTTTGCAACCCCACGCTTGGACCGCCCGCCTGCCAGCTGGGCGAACGCCACGCGAACGGCACCGGGGACGGCCATGGCGGATGTGGTGCGCTTCCACTTGGGCAGCTGCATCGAGGCGTCTCGAACCTCACTGGCCCAGCAGGCGCAATTCTTTGCAGTCTTGGCGGAGCCTGGGAAAAGAGATACGATGGGCGGCAAACAAAGAAAGTCTCTTTGAGACCAGTAGTGGGCCATCCGTTTCGGGGAGCAACTCCAACAAACTGCAAGTCAGTAAGCATTGCAACAGATTTTGGAAGCACCGGGCACCGGTGTCATTTCTTTTCTTGTTGTGGTACTGATCAACAGGTCGATTTCTGAATCTTGAAGGTACTTGTAGCATCTTGCAGCGGCACTCCGATCTGAACTTGCTCAGCCGAACCCGAGCAATCCAACTTGTTTGTCACCACAGCTGAGGACGAGCCAGGGCCAATCGATTATGGGGAAGCTGAATTGGAAAGTCTGCTGAAGGTGCTGTCACCCAAGGGGCGTCGGAGCCTGCCATTGCTGCTGGAATGGCTGGGACATCCAGGAGAAGATTGCTGCTGGAGTGGCTGGTGGTTTTTGAATTTCATCTCTCTTCTTTTATGAGAACAGGGGTGCTGCTCACAGGGCTGCCAATCAGGCTACCCCATTGAACTTCATTAGAAACAATCAAATCCCATTAGAACCCATAGAATTTTATTGATGTACTTGTTTTAAATGTTTTTGTATTTTCTCAATTTTGTCAATGGTCATTGGTCTTTTGCTCTTTCTCTTTCTCTTACTGTGCTCAGATTTTGAACTATTGTCTTTATTGTTTTTCAATATCTTCATACGCGTTTTTAAATAGGTTTCATGAGTCTTATTTTTTAAAATACGTGCTCCTACTGCTTTAATTGTTAACATTTTATGGGGGAAGCAGTTGAATATCATCCTTCTGATTGGGCTCCCTGGTGTGATGAATGATCTCTCCAACAACAGAGATGTGATTTGTAAATCTTGTGTTCAACTTCATATTATATAATACAGTATGTGATTATTCACTGTTCACGTTGCAAGGAGGATTGGTTTCAGGTTTGTTTAGCCAAACTGTTTCCCGTGACCAGGAGGAAAGTCGTCTCTGGAACCCGAACTCTTCTCGGAAGAGCTGCTGCCACTCGGCGATGTGAAAAAGGCAAAGCATCAGCCGCTGCTTTCGTCCATCTAATTTGCTCATGTCATTTAGAATCATCTGCCTTTTTGGGGTGGGGGAGTTTTTGCTAAACTTAACACCTCAATCCTTGCTAGCTGGGTTTACTTTTGCTTCCTCAAGAAAGAGAAGTAAGAAACACAATACGAAAAAAATCATGATGATACATCTCGTCCAGAGATTGGAACAGCGAAGCCGTGCGTAAACGCATTCGTCCTTTTTAGGCCCCGTTTCATCCGCCCTCCGTCCTCTCGCAGCGTCGAACGCGGTCCTCAGGTTTCACAGCTTCGCCGCTGCTCATCTCCTGGGCGCGTCGCAGCTCCTGGACGCCGCGCGCTACGCGGCCCAGGAGGGCCGACGTTTGCTGAACGCGCTGGTGCGCTTGGAGCTGCCGGCGGATGTGGTGCGCCGCCCCCCTTCCGCGTCTGCGTGCGTGCCGTGCGAAGTAACACGTGTGGAGCGATAATGAGAGGGAAAGAGGATGAAAGAGGGACTGAGTGATGGAGAGTGTGAGAAGGGGGACAGTGTTTTCTGGTCCAAGTGGTGTTTCAACTATACATTTGGAGCCTGTTGGAAGGGTTTGGCCATTGCGCGGCCTGTGATGGAAAGTTGGAGGATGGTGTGGGCCTGCCTGAACCTAGACTTAAGATGAGGCCTTTGTTAGAGCTCGTGGACAACTAGGGGTTTTTACGTAATGGTTCACGAAGTTCACGCTTCAAGCTTGAAGCTTCATACAGCCTGAGGAGGCAAAGCATGTTTTGCCTGCCCGCCGCACCGCGCAGGGCTCCCTCCGCACCGCGCACTGCTACGGTTTGGATCGATTCTGCGGTGATCTGCCCTTGGCGCACTGTGCGGCGGAAGCGGATCTGGGAGACGTGCTGAAGCTGATGTTAATGGAGGGAGAGGAGGGTGAAGAGATGCGAAGAGTCTTGGATATGCCGGTCCGGTCAGTACCGCCGATGTGCCGGTCCGGTCGTGCTGCTGTTGGATTGAAGCTATTGGGACGGGGAGGACTGTGAGGGTTGATGGACTGATTACGCGTTCGTCAACCAAGAGTCACGTTCGACGGGGTGGTTCGGTGGTTCTTAGTCCCTTTTTTGAGTGAGTGGAGTCCTTGGGCGCCCCGATCCTGCAAGTTCACCCCGTCTTGTGACTGGAAGATCGTTTTGTTTAACGATCATATTTGGCTTCATAGCAGACCGACATGTCCAGAGTTGAAGCTGGTCTCAATGCCATGAAGGTGGACTGAGTGGGTTTGGGGAGCGCGCTGGAACCAGCTCCCCACTTGAGACCCTTCGGGTTTGAGGCTTCAGGAGCCATGACTTTCCGCAGCATTGCGGCATAGCCTCACTTGAACAAACAACACATTGCAGAATCGTTCGAAAGAAACCACGGAGTATATCGTTTTTTTTTTTTTTGATTTGGTTTCAGGTTCAATCCATGACGTCTCCGGTTTTCGCCCCCCAAACACGGCCAATTCGGGTTCGAGGAGCCGATACCCTGGAGCTTCTCGACAGCAAGCACCACACGGCGCTGCATGTCTGTGCGATGCGCGACAGCGCTCAGGCGGCCAAGGCGCGAGTGGAGGAATTCTTGGCTCCATAAAGAGGCACTGCACTAAAGCTTTAATCAGCATTATGAACATAACATGCACTAAATACAGTAAAGCATTTTATGTTAAGAGCCACAAGTTAACATTACCAACAGGGACCCAGCACAGGAGTTCTTGCTGCGATGCGATGCTTCTGAAGCAGGTTTTGCACTGAGGGGATAGACCTCGGTAGTTGCAGGTGGATTCAAAAACTGTTCGATCAGGTTCCGCAGCCGGGCTAGGGCTCCAACATTCTGGGGATTCCACAACTGGATTCCACAACTACTAAGGACTCCAAAACGATGGGAAGGCACAGAGGGTGGGGTGTGAGGCCATACAAAAACGTGCGGCAGATTCAGAATCCCATCGTTTTTCTCTTTCAGAATCCGACCGAGTTTTCATACGTGACTGCTTTTAATGCCAAGCACAGAGAGGTGACGTCTCGCTGTCGTCACTCCATCGGTGACCAAGTAGGCGAGTCAGAAGTCCATCGGTTGACGCCTCAACGACGAGGTCGATACACTCGGACGTCACGGATATGATCGGATATGCTTAGATTGGCTTGACACTTGACACCCAAACAGGCAAGTGCAGCAACCGTCAGCAACCCATGGCAAAGGGTGCAATAGAAAAGGAAAGCAGATAGGGTGGTAGGGCTGATGAATGTGGACAGGTGGGATGACACTGGTGACTGGTCCATAGCTCAAGGACACAGAGTGACCCCCACTCAGCATCCAAGTTTCAGCCACAACCTAGACATCCGTTTGCTTGCACGTGTTCCGTAGCATTAAGACAGGACTCATGCAGTTGCGCGCTTTGGCAGCGACGATCACGACTTCGGTCGTGGCGACGATCACGACGCGTGGCCGGCCCAGTTCAGGAGCTGGCTTCGGCACGCCGGTTTTGACGGTGGCTTCGACTCGTTCCAAGCAGCGGAACGAGCGCCACGGGTCATGGAACTAATGAGCCTGTACCCAAAGTGAGGGCGTGGTGCGAAGTATCTCTTGGCACAGCGATCAGTCGACCAAGTGCCATGATGCAGCTGGCGCGTCGTGCTGAGCTGCAGTACCATCAAACAAATTGTGTGACTCCACGGTAGTGCATGGCAAAGCAAGGCCTTTAGCAAGTGTTGGTTTGCGCACCCTCCCTCCAGCAATCATGGAAGTTGAAAGTGGTTCGAACATGTTCGAAAGGCCATTTGGTTGGGTTGCTCACTTCCATGTTTCTTGAAGTGCTGGTATGTCGAGCCGGTTGTCCCTTGGTCGAGGTGCTTTTAGAACACTCGGCCAGCCTCACCGCGCTCTGCGACCCACCCGACCTGGAGGAGGAGGAAGGAACTGCGAAAGGCGGCCGCAGGGCGGGTGTGCGACCCTCGGTTGGCACGGGTAAGCTGGCTTGCTGAAGTGTTATTGCTTGGGAAGTGCGGAAGTCTTGGACATATCACAGCTAGGGGGGAGCTTCCTCTCAAGTGCTTGTCAGTTTTCTGTGTAAACCACATTGGAACAAGCATGAACCGGCCAACAGGTGAAGCGGAGAGGAGTTGAATCAAGTTGAATCCATGGCTTTCGTTTTCACTCAAGTTGAAAATTCTCAAAACCAACCATGTCGAATTCCCCACAAACAATGCCCAGGAACCGCTTTGCACCTGGCTGCATATCATGACAGCGTGGAGGTCTTGCAACTGCTGTTGGATGCCAAAGCGGACGTTGCCAGCTGCGTGAAAGGCAGCTGCTAGGGATGGGGGTTTGACTCAAAACTGTTCAAGACCCAAGTCGGCAAACCCATCCTGCAA